CCGGCCCGAGGAGAAGCCCTGCCCCGGCGGGCGCGGGGCTCGCACGGACCCGGCCGTCTCTTACCGGCGCCTCATGGTACCGCGGCGTCTCAGCCCAGCCCCGGCGCTGACCAACTGCGCCCGGCAGCCTAGAGCGTCCCTCGGCTCCCGGGCCGAGCTCCACTCGCGGCCATTCAAACGCGGCCGCGCGCGCGGCCCGCCGGGATAGCTCCCCCTGGGGCGTCTGGCATGCACCGCCCACGCTGGCTCCGCCCCTCTCTGGTTGCGCAGGACCGGAGGGAGGGGGAAGAGGACGTGTGGCCACAGTGGCCCCTGGTGGCCACAGGCACGCATGGAAGCCTTGCTGCGGCTCGGCAAGTAATACTCTGCGCTAGGAACTGAGGGGGGATAAAAGTCAAAAAAAGACCCTGCGCTAGTGACAGTCTAGTGGGGGAGATGGTACTTTAAGTGTTGTACCAGGAGGTGCAAGCAATTTGCCATAAAAATATGGTGCAGGGAGAGAGTTCTTCATTCACCGCCACTTAACTGCACTAAGGAAAAGTATTTAAAAGCCTAGACTCTGGAGCTGTGTGACCTTGGGCAAGTTACATACACTCCTGTGTGCCTTGGTTTCCCCATCTGTAAAAGGGGGATGATAATAGTATCTGCCTCATAGTTGTGAGGATTAAATGAGTTAATACTTATAAAATGCTTAGAGGAATGTATCTGGCACATGGTGAGCACTATATAATTGGTAACTATTATTTTTTAGTTCCTAATATGTGCCAGACCCTGTGCTCAACTCTTAAGAACTCAAGAAATGCATATGATGCAGACCCTGGCCTCAGGAGCAGGCTTAGTCTCTTGGGATGGGGAACACTAAATCAGAGTATGAGGTTATGGGTGGGCCTGTCCCTGGGGTGTTTTTTAATTTCAGAGGGTAGTTCTCGTCATCTTAGTGGAGCCAGAGTCTACCCATCTTCACAGGCAAGCCACTAGTCAAAGTTAACCAAATTGTGACAGGAGCAAGTTTGTCTTTGGTGGGCCTCTTACTCCCTGCAGACGCCAATCAACCAGTGCATTTGATGGATCATTTCCTCACTGAGAGACCACATCCCTTGACTCACTTTTTTAGGCACTCCTTTCAGAACTCTCCAGGGCTTGCCTAAGGAACAGGTTGCTTCAGTTTGATTCGACAGTATTTTTGAAGTCCCACTATGTGCCAGGCTGTCATTGTACCAGGTGCTGGAGATGGCCTGGAGGAGCTCACAGTGGCTTGGACAAACAGAGGAGGAGATCATTCCACGACACTGTAGTGAGTGCAGTGATAAAATATCTATCTTCAAGAGCTGGGTCAATATAAAGGGCCCTATGCTCAATAGGCCACGTTTATAATTTCACAGGGTTCATGGACTACAATTGCTTACCAGATGTGTCTATGGAGTTGGCTAACCATGGCATCATGATGGTTCTGGTCCCAACTTTTTTCAGGCTCTGTATGTTTGCTTCTCCTTTAAGTGATGGGTTTGTGTAGACTCTGATGTAGTACTCCTAGAAGAGCCAACGCTACTCACCTGTGGATCAGACAGGCATGCTGCCTTGCGCCCTGCTGGAGATGCATGGACTAAGGCCCGGAGTGTCCTTTTCAGTATTTGCAGGCCCAGCTGACTATATCAATCAAAGTTATGAGTTTAGGGATCTCACTGGGTCTGCAGGTAGGCTTAGGGTGGTGTAGTTCAAGAAATTGAAAAAATGTCTGTATTTGTTAGAGGTTATATAGTTGAGAAAAAGGAGACCAGAGAGATGGATGGAAAAAATGAAGGAGATAAGCATATGAGACACCTGAGAAAGAGATTAGAGATGAAATCCCAAGAGTGAGAAAAGTGAATGCAGTGACAATAGAGATATTGAATAATATGATATGTTTGTACTATATTGGGAAATTTTATTTTTTTATTTTTATTTTATTTATTTTGTGAGATCAGCCCTGTGCTAATGTCTGCCAATCCTCCTCTTTTTTTGCTGAGGAAGACTGGCCCTGGGTTAACATCTGTGCCCATCTTCCTCCACTTTATATGGGACGCTGCCACAGCATGGCTTGCCAAGCAGTGCATCGGTGCACGCCCGGGACCTGAACCGGCAAACCCGGGCCGCTGCAGCGGAGCGCGCGCACTTAACTGCTTGCGCCACCGGGCCGGCCCCGGGAAATTTTATTTTATAAATGTAACTCTAAAATGTAATTCCTTATTGCCAATATGAGTTTTTAAATATATTTTCACCGTTTTTTTTAACACATCCCATTTGTATAAAAGCTAATGATGTAATAGTTTAAAATAAATATATTCTGACCTAGTAAAAAATAAAATGTCTATCCTAAACACCATGGGAGTTCAGAGCAATGGAAGGCCTTGTAGATAAACTGATCAGAGCTAAGATGTCATTAAGTGATAGTAACAATATATTTTTCCTCCTTAATACAGGGTTCTTACTTGCTTAATCCAAAACATTAAGTGATGGTGAAAATTTTGAGCCCTACTTGAGCTCGGTGGGAGAGATATTTTTAGGATATATTTTGCACAAGCAATGCCTTTGAGAACCTCTAAGGTTATACTGAGCACAAGCAGGCACATGCCTATGTTGGGGCCACACCTGTTCACAGGTGGGACTGTTGAGAGTCCAGCAGGGTGAGTGAGTGGAGACAACAGGAGCCCTGGGTTCTAGGGGTGTGCAATGTAGAACATTCCCTCGGTATGACTCCCACTAAGTAGGTGTGCTGTTTTAAAAAAAATAAAAATTCAACACACATGGGTGAAGTCACTTTCTCTCAAGCTATTTCATCATCACCATCATCATAAACAGGAATTTCTTGATGACCCACTATGCAAAAGGTATTGTGCTGGGCCCTCACCAGAAGATGGTGAAAAGAATTTAAGACATGGTACTTACCCTCCAGGGAGGCTGGGTGATGAGGTCAGACAGATAACGGAGTCCTAGGACTCAGGGAATCTGCTAGTTGACATAGAAGGATCTCAGCTAAAAAAAGCCTCGGGTCATCTGCAGGCCAAAGAAGAATCTTTTCTCCTCGTTTCTGGAGCTTATCAGGGCACAGTGTCTCAGGCAGTTTCGTCTCCAGACTCAGGTTCTAAGGTTTACACCCGTGAGGAGCAGCCCTGGCCCATGGATCTCATGTGGCTGCCAAGTGTCAACATAATTTAAGGTGAAAACAAAGAAATTTGCCTTCCCATCGCTGCTTTTGAAATATATACCATTTTAGTGATGAAAATGCAGATCAATTTTCTTCATCAACACTTTTCAGTCAATGAAGTTGAATTTTTTCCCCTTGGGGCTTATTCAAGTTTTGTTTTGTAATAAATTTTAAAAAATGCAATCCGTACGTATTTTTATGATCCCTGCACCAGCCCTTGTGCACAGAAGGTGGTTCCCTGCTAGCCTTCACAGTGGGCAGTCTCTGAGGGGGTCTACCCCTCTGACCGTTCCTTCGTTCCTTCCTTCTGACTACTTAAATATCCCTTCCATCTGAAGGAACAGACAGCTGAGTCAACCTTTCTGCCCCACATTGCCCTCGCTCAGGGGTACAGACACCATTCAGGGACAGTGTGTAGAGTAACCCTGACCCATAAACACCCAGACGAGAAAAGAAGTCTCATGCATAGTCGTATGTACCTTCCTGAGTGGAGAGTCACAGGAGGGATCGTGGAAGAAGCTTTGAGCTGGGCCTCATAAGCTGGACAGGATTTGACAGGCAGAATGTTCTAGACAAGGGTGGAAGTGCAAAATCAGTTCCAGGACCACTGTCTATCCCTATCTGAGTGGGGCGGAGAGAGCTCTGGAGAGTGGCAGGAGCGAAGACTGAAAAGGTATGCAGTCACCTGACAGGTTGTGAAGATCTGGAATGATCCAGCAAAGGTGTTTGGAGTTTACCCTATAAGCAGCGAGGAGACAGTAAAGACTGTTGAGCGGGCAGTGACAGAGTTAAATCAGTACTTTAGAAGGATTAATCTGTCACCAGGACACAGGATGGCTGGGGGAGGAGGGGGGCTTGATGGCAAGAACTTAGGCATGGAAGTGTTGTAGTTTAGACTGGAGGTTCAGGGAGCCATAGCATTTACTGTGGTGTCTGTCGTTCTCATCAACTCAGACAGATGCTGGACAATGCTTGAAGAGGATGCTTGAAGAGACCTAAAAGACAGCAACAGCTCATCCATTCCACAGGTAATTGCATTCACTGCTCAGCCTCAGAGCCTTTGGAAAGTTCCAGGCAGTTGACTTTGGCAGTCAAGTGAGAAGTCAATCCATTTTTTTTTTTGCTCCTCCCTATAGTCTTTACTTCCTTCTTGTGCAGACTGTGGAAGGAAGTAATGGCAGGAGGGAACATTTCGGATAAGGCGGTAGTGGTGGTATTGAGTGAATCTCACTCCTGGTTTACAAAATTCATGATTGTTTCAAACACCACCACAGGACTGGTACCCTCCTTGGTGCAGAAGCAGCAGTTTTGTTTGGGGTTTTTTGGGGGGTGGAGGGTGGGAGTGGTGGGGGGTGTTGAGTGGTAGGGGATCCTCCTGTTAAGATAGTTTCTGATGCAGCTGTTACACCACGACAGCTGGGAAGCAGGTGACAATATTTGGTATTTATAGATTTTGAAATCTAAATCCCGAGAGACCATTTCTCTCCTCCCCCAAGTAGATTTCCTGCCATTAGGGTACACTATCACCAAGTGGAAGATAGTAGAGGGCAACATGTTAGAGTGGAAAGAACACTAGCTTTGGAGCAAGGCTTATCTCTACTGGAAGCCTAGATCATTGCCTTTGGGACTTTTCTGCACCATTTTTACCTCAACTAAACAATGGGGATAATAGTACTCTTCTCTCAGGAGACGTTGGGAAATAGGATAACCTCATAAAACACTACACTAGTATCTAGCACAGTGATTGTCTCTTTTGCAAAACATCCCCCACCCCTAATTTTACTTGTTCAGTGATTTTTCCAAGATAGAGAAGAACACAATATGGTTGAATGCTGCCTTGGAAAAGCAAGAGTCCTGGAATCAGACCAGCTCGTGGAGGGGGGCCAATGCTGGGGAGGCAGACCCACTGTGGTGCTGATGGCCTGGGAATCAATACAGGGTGTCTGAAAGCTATGACCTTACGCAAAACATGTCCAGTCATGCAGGTGCTTAGCGGCTTTGATACTACTGGGGCCTCATAACAAACAGGCATAGTGGAGAGGAGTTCAAGGGCAGGGGGGCCGGCAGAATAGAAAAGAAATGGGCAGGGCAATAATCATCAGAAACAGGAT